TCATGCGCAGTGTGACATCCTATTGTCCAGGATATCAGTAGCAAATAAAAGAGAAGTGTGTTTGGCTAATGAATATGAGATTATGATGTAATTTGTGTATGCCTCTATAGGTCGGTTTTGAAAATCTCGCTACGGTAAGTATGCAATAAATAATTTTATTTATGACAAATTAATTTACTTAATTTAAGAGCTAAATTAGTTATTTTTATGATTTTTACCAACTTTCATTTCTGTATCGGTGAGTAGTGTGATATTCTTACTGGGGTAGTGTAACTCACCCTTTCATTAACCATTTCAGATAAAAAAGACTAAGATACAGATCCCAATCAACAAGGGGGTTGTGAATAGTTCACCATCCAGACTTTCTTTAAAGGCTAGTGAAGGTTGTCCTAGGATACGTAATTATTTACTTTTTATTTATTTCTTGATTTTTTGTTTGTTGTTTTAGAAGGGTCATTTCCGTAGCCCTATTGAGTATTTAAAACTATTGTGTAAAGAATGTAAACCTTAACTCTATTATTTCGCTTCCGCATTCAATTCATGTTTTTATCTCCCTTTCAGTTCCGAGGCGTTACATCTAGTCTCCTCATTATACAATTTTTTTTTTTTACCAAAGATAAAGATAAAATATTATTCAAAGTATAATTATTAAAAAAAACACCACTAAGGTCTTCCGACTGTCTAACAAAGAGCTCAAAAATAATAATATATGCATTTCATCATCTAGAGTTATAGAGGTTCTTAATTGATTCACCAAATCTTCGAATTTACTCAAATGTTCCACTATTGACCGTTCATCTTGCAGCTTTAGGTTCACTAAATTTTTGGTAATGAAAACTTTATTTTGAATACTTTTCCTCTCATACATAGTTTTTAAGTTCTTCCACAAAACATGTACATTAACTTTTTTAAGTTCTTCCACAAAACATGTACATTAACTTCTTTGCTTATATGATGGTAGACATTGATGTTCATCCATTATTGGATAGTTTCTATAGTTGTTTTATGCATTTTTTCTCAATCATATTATGATATTCTAGTTGGCTTGACACTTCCTAATTTAATAACATCATACAAATTCTTGTAATAAAAAAGGTCCTCCATTTTCGGCTTTCAAATAGAGTAATTTGAAACCAACAATTTAATTATTATATCGGTGAATTCTTCCATCTTAATTTAAACAATTAATTTCAGACAATAAATCAACTAAACTCTAATATCATTTGTTGTGTCCAAATCAGAGAATTTAATCAATTGTATAATATAAAATAATCACTAAGTTAATTAATAGGGTCCAATAATACTACAAAATCAATTACAGTATAAAGAAAAAGATACATGATTTTATATGAAAAATCTTACAGTATAAAGAAAAACTTGATTGAGCTTTTCTAATTTCTTAAATTTGTTTAAAAATTTCATTCCACATGACCATGCCCCTTGAAAAATAGTTGTCATGCTTATAATTTAAAATTATTATTGGTCTTCTTACTAAAATTATTTATATTTTATTTTAAATGTTAAATATTTTTAAAATTTTTAGATAAAATTTCTAAATCATTTAATGATTTAAAAATTAAAATTATTATTCTAAATAATAAAATTATTTTTAAAAACTGATAAATCAATACGGTGAGTTCACGTATTTTAAAAAAACTGGAGAACAGGAAGAATAAGAATATCAACATTTAATTAATTATGCACTTTCTACAAAGAAAGAAATTAAGAAACAAGCAAAAGCTATATATATATATATATATATATATATATAAATGTTAGCACTAGGGTTCTGAGTAGGATTTTCATCAGCTCTACATAATAAATCTTATACTTATAATGCAATCATGACCCTGAGTTTTCAATAGAAAAGAAAAAGCACTTTTGGGTGGTACCAATCTATTTGAATGTAGAAAGTTAATATCACAAATTTAAAAAGTTATCAAGAAAACTATAAGCTACTAATTTAATTCAAGTTCATATCCATAAATTGCTTCTAACAACTAAAGTCTCATTTTATATATTATAAATATACATATGGTTAATTAAAATTTTATATAATGATCATATTCGAATAGTTTTACTTCTAAACTCAAATTCAATCGAATTAAAAGTTAATTACTTATTAATTCAATTTGATATGACTCTGTTTTTATTTCTTAAAAAAAATTATAGAAATTGCGATATATTGTTCAGATTTATAAGATTTTTATTTTTTATGTTAATAAATACTACAATATAACATTAAAATAATATAACATATTATCTTTTATTTAGTACATTAAGGACAATATAAGTAATAAGTCGTCTACTACATAAATTTTACTTTAAATATACACAAATATGAACAATTTTAGGGTTTCACGACCGCACCTATGCTGCATGACCTCCTTAAGGTCTTAAGGGCAAATGCAATTCCAATATCCTTGTGAATTCTCCTTAATCGTGGGACTACTTTTGAAACTAAAGATTACTTCTAGGTCAAGGTATTATTTCTTAATTTAGGATTGCTTCTGTAATACTCAAGACTGAAAATCGGCCCAGGATTTTCTTTTTATTATAAAAAAATTATTAATTCAATTTATTTTAATTTATTTTTATTGAATTTTTTGAGAAAAATATATTATGGACGAAATTGAAAATAATTTTGAGAAAAAAGAGCAAAATTTTGAATATATAAATTATTTTTGAAAGAAAAATTAAAAACAGGGGGCTAAATCACAAAAAAAAAAGTTTAGCCACGTTGGACAACCCAATTAGTAACCCGAGCGAACCAGAGCACGTCGCGTGGTAGGCAGGTTGACATCGGCTCCACACAAGAGGCCACGCGAGCGATCCACGTGCCTAGACGATCAGACAACCAAGATTGCATCCCGCGCACGCGAATGACCCAGATGCATTCCATCTTTAGATGCGATCGAACAGACGAGATTGATCGCGATGGACGGTTCAGATTCATCCACGTAATCAGCCTAAATGAAAAATGATCGAATAGTCCTCGTCGCTCCACTTGTCCCCGACTGGACGGCTCAGATTGACATGGGATGGGTATTTAAACATCGTATCGTAGGAGAACTTAACCCTAGCCATCCAGCTCTCGCCGGAGAAGAAGAACCAGATGCCAGAGAAAGAGGCCGATCCCCAGCTGCTGCTGCATCGGAACCACCGCCGACTACCAAAAAAAGTAAAAATTTTCCCTCCGTGTTCAGAATTTAATTTCGAGCATCCCTATGATCATATCAGAGCAAAAGGGATGACAGGTGAGTAAGAAATCGCGAACAAAGTCCGGCGGGCCACTGCAGCCAAAACCCTAAACCCTCCTCGATGACCCTTTTCCTGTTTTTTATTTCACACAAATTTTCAACCATTGTATTCATCATCATTTTTTGTGTAGGTTAGCCGAAGAAGAAACCCCGTCACAAAAGAGAACCGGCAGAGCCGCTGTTCCCAAGGACCACCCCGCCAGTAGGTTCAGTTTCTTTCGATTTTCTGACAAATCGAGTTCTCCTAACGTATTTTTCTGCAGGGATACACGCAAAACCAGTCAGGTCGAGGTAAATCGCCGCCATGGATGGGGGAGCCGGTGCCGGAGTACTTTTGGATATGTAACGAGTATTTTGATTTCCGCAGGGAAAATTTAAGAAACCCGGGACTTGTCAGAAGGTATAGTGATTAGGATGACATTTCAAAATACCGATCTAGGTATGGATCTCTCACCTTATTCTTTGTTATGGTAAATTGAGGATTAATAATCGATAATTTTGTGTTTTGTGAAACTTAGAAAAACCCTTAAAAAAAATTACAAGTTACTAGTATAGCCAGAACTGATTAGTTCGTATTTGTCATGATTCTCTATTTATTTTTCTGTACTACCTAAATTGATTACTATTATATTGTGCATATTTAAATTGATAGTTTTTATGGTCTTCTCGATTATTTAGTTATTTGATTCCTCCTGCATTATTTATTCAGTATTCTGGTTATTTAGTTATTCGATTATGTTAAACTATATCACTTGCTTAAATGTCGTTTAAATTAATCTGTAAGTATGAAATAAGATGTTGATATGCATTGGTGGTTATTTGGATGATGATAATCTATATAAATGAAAGCTTACTGGGTATCTTGGGAAAGGGTAGACAGACCCGGTACATAGGGAACCCTACTATGGACATTACCTTAATCGGATAGGGCTTAGAATTCCTGTACTGAAAGGGTTTTAGGCGATATAGTTCACCTTCATACCGAACAGAGTATCAAAATGATGGTGTTTTTAGCGCCCATTACCGGACGGGGTATGAGAACGGTCGGGTTAATTGTAAAATCTTGATACTGGGTCCACAAGTAGAGAGATATCTTTATGGACTTCCAAAGGTCCCAGTAAGTAGGTTAAAAGGAATAATTACCGATCTTATGCAGAAATTAAAGTATCACTTGGTTATTTATCTTTATAGGTTGTTTTCAGAAAAACCCATAATGGTAAGTAAAGAATAAAATATTTTAATGTTAAATATATTTACTTAAATCAAGGGTTCGAATAGTTATTTTATGATTCTTACTAACATTTGGTTTTCTGTATCAGTGATTAGTTTGATATTCTTACTATCCTAGTGTAGCTCATCCTTTTATTAACCATTTCAGATCAAGAAGACTAATATCCGGATCCCAATCAGTAAGAAGGTTATGAGTAGTTCACCTCCCGGACTCCATTTAGGTGTTAGTGAAGGTTAACCCCTCCCTAGGATATCTATTTATTTATTTTTAATTACTGTTTATCTTTTTATGAACTAATGTAGAAGGGATATTCTTGTAGCTCTATTGGGCATTCTAATTTACTATGTATAGAATGTAAATCTTAACATTATTATTCACTTCCGCATTTAAAATATAAATTAATTTCCTTTGAGTTACGAGTCATTTCAGTTGGTATTAGAGTTGTGCTCCTTAGAACCATTCATTACATAAATACTTAAAAACACCAAATGCAAACTATCACTCAACCCTTCCTTATGAAATACAAGTATAAGGATATGAGTAGGGGAAGGCCCCCACTAAATCGAGTAGCTCAAAATGGTTCGCTTCGAGAGGATGTTTATCGACTCTTTGAGATGCTGGAGATATTTATCTCTGCCCAGCAGGCCCGGGAGGAAAGGAGGGAGCTGCTTGACCCCCCCCCCCCCCACTACGGTGAAAATGGAGCTCCTCTTGCAAAGGAAAAATC